TTCTGTGATTTCCATGATAAATTTGGAGCAGAATCGTCTCCTGGATTTCCCCCTGTACCTCCCCTGGGCTGTGCTGGGTGTCTTGCAGCACCAATACCATTTGTGGCACAGTGAAGATGGGAACACAGGAGTAGAAATTCACTTCCAGGGATTCAGATTCCCATAAGGACATGAAGGGGAGCACGGCAGATCCCTGGAACACCCAGCTCCCCTGCTCTGAGCTCTGGCCTGTTTAAAGCAGCCCAGAGCAGGGGTTAAACCTTTCCTTACCGGGCTGAGGACCACACACAGGCCCTGGCTGCTGACATCTTTGCAAAGAGCACCCTCCTCCCATCTCCAGCCTCTTCCCATGCTCGGAGCTCATCCTGCCTTTCCCTGGGAGTTTATCCTGCCTTTCCCTGGAAGTTTATTGCACCTTTCCTGGGGAGTTTATCCTGCCTTTCCCTGGAACTCATCCTGCTTTTCCCAGGGAATTTATCCTGCCTTTCCCAAGGAGTTTATCCTGCCTTTCCCAAGGAATTCATCCTGCCTTTCCCGGGGAATTTATCCTGCCTTTCCTGGCAAGTTTATCCTGCCTTTCCCTGGAAGTTTATCACGTCTTTCCCTAGGAGCTCATCCTGCCTTTCCCAGGAACTCATCCTGCCTTTCCCAAGGAATTCATCCTGCCTTTCCCTGGGAGTTTATCCTGCCTTTCCCTGCGAGTTTATCCTGCCTTTCCCTGCGAGTTTATCCTGCCTTTCCTTGGGAGTTCATCCTGCCTTTCCCTGGGAGTTTATCCTGCCTTTCCCTGGGAGTTTATCCTGCCTTTCCCTGGATGTTTGTCCTGCCTTTCCCTGGATGTTTATCCTGCCTTTCCCTGGGTGTTTATCCTGCCTTTCCCTGGATGTTTGTCCTGCCTTTCCCTGGATGTTTGTCCTGCCTTTCCCTGGATGTTTATCCTGCCTTTCCCTGGATGTTTATCCTGCCTTTCCCTGGATGTTCATCCTGCCTTTCCCTGGATGTTTATCCTGCTTTTCCCTGCGAGTTTATCCTGCCTTTCCCTGCGAGTTTATCCTGCCTTTCCCTGGATGTTTGTCCTGCCTTTCCCCGGGAGTTTACCCTGCCTTTCCCTGGATGTTTGTCCTGCCTTTCCCTGGATGTTTATCCTGCCTTTCCCTGGATGTTTATCCTGCCTTTCCCAGCCCTGCTGCAGCACGTGGGATCTGCACCACCGCTGCAGAACTTTATCTGCCGCTCTGCAGGGAGGTTTGGGGCTGGCAGCGTCACCGCTGGGATATTTGGGATTCTCTGGGAGGTGAGGGATGTGCGGCACTCATCCCACACTCATTCAATGGGGAAACAAGAATAAAACCCCGCAGGCTTTGTGCAAGTCCCCAGCACGATTCAAGTGTGGTGTCATCGCCTCAGACAGAGTGGAAATTCTCTGCGAGCCAGGAATCTTTCACCGGAGCAATTAGCAGAGCATTTTAAAGAACAAATGCGATTGGAATCTCGGGATCCATTTGTGGATAGGGTTGAGGGTGAGTTCCCTGAATGGGTTCTTTGTTTTCCATCACTTTTTTAGGCTCAGCCAGTACACTCTGAGAGCAAGTGCTCTTCCCTCAGTGTGGTGACAGTCCTTGAAGTGTGTTTGAAATCCAGGGAAACCCTGGAGAGGATTTCTGGGTTGCTGCTCACCACCCCCCTGCCAGTGCTGTTATTTCCTGCTCTCTTGAAGGGACCAGGTGACCCAGGGCACTCTCGGGGCTGCTCTTCCCCGACTGCCACAGGGTAAAGGATTCCCACTGATCCCGAGCTCCTTTCCGCAGGTACCGGATAAATCCCAGCTGGGAGGACCCCTGGGAGGAGGAGCAGGATCTGATGGGATTAATTCATCCTCAAAACTTCCCATCCTTTCTCCTCTTTTCCCTTCCTTCCATCCCACTCCTGCCTTCTCCAGGACCCCCTTTCCCCGTTCCCCTGTGTCCTCCTCCATCCCCCGCTCACCCTCAGCTCTCACCCGCAGGGGCGATGCGGGCGCTGGGGATGGGCCGGTGCTGACCCCTGGCCTCGGGACAGCTCGGAGCGGCCGAGGATGCCTGCGGAGGGACCCGGGACTCCTCTCTGGACATAAGGGGTGGCCGAGGGAGAGACATGTGGGGACAGCGCCCTCCCAGCCGGCACAGATCTCCCTGCTCCGACACGAGCGGCGCTCACCATGGCCACAGCTTGGAGGCTCCTCACCTGGACCGTCACCCTCGGCCTGGCCGGCGGCACCTTCCCCGGCTCCAGCTTCCAGTCACAGGGTAGGGATGGGAGCCGTGGGATGGGATCCATGGGATGGGATGAGATCCATGGGATGAGATCCATGGAATGGGATGGGATGGGATGGGATGGGATCCATGGGATGAGATCCATGGAATGGGATGGGATCCATGGGATGGGATGAGATCCATGGGATGGGATGGGATCCATGGGATGGGATGGGATCCATGGGATCCATGGGATGGGATGGGATGAGATCCATGGGATGGGATGGGAACCATGGGATGGGAACCATGGGATGGGATGGGATCCATGGGATGGGATGAGGAGCTGGATCGAGCCATGGGGAAAGGGACCTCAAGTCACCGGTGGAAAAGGAGCTGGATTCATTTCTGGGAAGGGGATCTGGATTCACCCCTGCTGGATCCACCCATGGAGAAGGGAGCTGGATCCACCCATGGGGAGAGGAGCAGTGTTCACCTGTGGGGAGAGGATCTGGATCCATCCATGGGAAAGGGAGATGGATCTGCTTGTGGGGAGAGGAGATGGATCCACCCCACTGCTGCTGGCAGAGCCCTCATGCTGGTCTGGGGAGGGACAGGGGGGTGCAGGTGGAGACACCTCCAGCTCTGCTCCTGCCCAGCTCCTCCCACCCCTGGGAGTTTTCCATCAGTCTCCAAGGGCTGGAAGTGTTCTGCTCTCTGTGACTTTTTGCAGAATTCAGAGCAGCTGGGTCAGCCCAGGCCAGAGCAATGAGAGGCTGGGAAAGAAAGGAGGTGTGGTAGCAGCAGGGGCTGCTTCCCTTGCAGGGAGCAGCTCATCCTCGGCTGAGCAGAGGCTTTGTTGGCAGGAGCGTTGTGTGTGCGTGGTCCTCGGCGTGCCCAGGGGTGGAGGGCGGTGCTGGGACACCCAAACCCTCTGTCCAGCTGAGCTGGGACAGGACTGTGCTGCTGGAGGAGCAGGGTTGGTTTGCACACACATTTTGGAAGTGTTTTTGTGCCCATCTGGTGTGTCGGTGTCTGAAGGACTCGTGTTTGAACAGGGTCACACTCAGGGACTGCAGGGAAAGGGGAATGTGGGGCTCTTGCCCATAGTTTGTGCTTTTGCACCTGATTTTATTCCAGGTTAGGAGTGAAGGGACTGGAAAATGGGCCTTGAGCCCAGCCTGGAGCACAAACACCCACAGACAACAAAGTTAAACTGATTAATGGTAACATTTTTAGGATTATTCCTTAAAAAGCAAGGTGAACAGTGCCACCAGAGGCGAGAGGAGTAGCACCTTTACTGTGCAAGGTGCTCAGACCCTGGCAGTGTCACTCACACAGCCAAAACCCCGCACCCCTCATGTGCCCCCATCAGCCGTGGCAGGTCCACAGCCGCGTTCCAGGGCTGCTGAGCAGAGCAGGCTGTGGTGACAGCACCGTGAGGTGGCTGGAGCAGCAGAGCTGGAAGAGGGACAGGAGCACCCTCAGTGTCCCGGGCTGGGCACAGGACAGGCAGGAGGGCAGCCAGCCCCAGCTGGGAGCTGGGCACGTTCTCCAGGCAGATGGGCATCCCAGGAGCACCCAGCTCCTGCTGCTGCTCTCCACAGACTCTGGCAGTGCCTGGGGGCTGCTCTGGGCATGTTCACACCCTGCTCCACGTGCAGCCCCACTGTGGGATCAGCCCCATCCCAGCTCACAGCGCTGGGATCCCCCATGGGCTAACACAGCTCCATCAAACCCAGAATTAATGCCTGTGCTCCCCCAGGGCAGGTCCTGAGCAGCTCTGGGGGCAGCTCCCAGCCCCTGATGGTGCTGGGATGTGGTGCCATGGGATGGATGTGGTGTGTTGGGAGCACCACGCCAGGACTGAAGCTTGTCCCCTGCTCAGTCCCTGTCCCCTGCCCAGTCCCTGTCCCCTGCCCAGTCCCTGCTGCTCCAGGGGCCCCTCGTGCTGTCAGAGCTCTGTTTTTGGTGTCAGGCTGTCACCCAACACCTCACCAGGCTGCTGAGACAGTTCCTAATCCCCACAACACCCCTTGGAGAGCGTGAGGCTCTGTTATCTCCTGGAGCAGCTGCAGGGTGAAGGGCAGGGTTATCACCAGCCCCTGGCCCCAGGCACTCGCTGCAGGCAGCTCTGGAGCAGAGCCCTCGTGCCCCACGTGCCCCACTCCAGATCAGGGGATTTGGTTTATGCAGGAGAAAGATTAAGGTATCAGCCATGAGCTCTAATTTTAATCTTTGTGGGGAGGAGCAGCCTGGCACTGAAGGGCTCCCCAAGGCAGCAGAGAGGTTCAGATGTGGCCTGGACACTCAGGGTGCAGTTTGTAACAGCCCAGGGAACAGCTGGAATGGTTGGAACAACTCCCAGAGCAGCTGTGGCTGCCCCTGGATCCCTGGCAGTGCCCAAGGCCAGGCTGGACGGGGCTTGGAGCAGCCTGGGATGGTGGAAGGTGTCCCTGCCATGGCAGGGGTGGCACTGGATGGGCTTTGAGGTCCCTTCCCACTGAAACCATCCCAGGATTCTGGGAGTTGTGAGAGGATTCAGCTCATGCTCACAGTGCTGGATGGGTTTTAATGCAAAGGGAATTCCTGCCAGGAGCTTTAATTGTGGGGCCAGATCAGACATTCCCATTTTACAGAACATTCAGTGGGGCTCATCCCACTGTTCCCAGCTCAGAGGTGTACAAAGCACCCTTGGAAGGTGCAGTGAGGCTGCCACAGTGCCAGGGCAGCCTGAACCACGGGATTCCAGAGCATCCTCCACAGCCATCCCTTGGGAATGGTGGCTGGGCTGCAGCTGGGGCTCCCCTTTGCCGACAGCACCGCAGCAAACATCTGCTTCCTCTCCGTGCTTGAGGGAACTCGTGAAGGAAGAACAAAACCCTCCCTCCCCCATCTCCCCTCCTCTCTCTCCTTCCTGCTCAGCCCCCCCTGTGCCCTTTCCCTTCCTGGGCCATCCCTGCTCCATCTCCACCAGAAAAGGGACCCCACGAGGTTCCTCCCCCCAGCCCTCCCCTCCTCCCTGCCAGCTTTCCCCTTTGCTGTCCCCCTGTGTCCCTCGGGGGTGCCCTGTCCTGTCCTGGGGAAAGGCTCAGAGCCTGCAGGGCACAGCCAGGGATGCTCAGAGGGACAGAGGGCACAGGAGGGAGAGGCTGTGGGCTGGAATATGGGGGGCAGGAGCAAGGCAGGGGGCAGGAAATGCAGGGATTGGGAATGTGTGTGATGTTGGGAGGATGACACAGGGTTAGGGGAGGGAGAGATCCAAATCTCTCAGGCTGAGCTAATCCTTTCCACCGCAGGGCAGAGGAGGCAGCTGTGACACTGGACAAGGACAGTGACTCCTGTGTTCTGAGCTGTCACATGGGTGGCGCTGGATACCGGGAATGTCAGATGGAGGTGGAATACTGGGGAGGAATTCTTCCCTGAGAGGGTGGAGGGAATTCCCAGAGGAGCTGTGGCTGCCCCTGGATCCCTGGAAGTGTCCAGGGTCAGGCTGGTCAGGGTATGAAGCACCCTGAGGTAGTGAAGGTGTCCCTGGATGGGACTGGATGGGCTTTAAGGTCCCTTCCAACCCAAACCATTCCATGATTCCATTCCATGATTATTTTTTCCATTTGAGGCATTCCCCCTCTAAAGCATCACTTCCCAATCCATTCCTGTGGTGCTCAGCCCTGCTCCTGGGCTCTCCCCGTGCCTCAGTGTCCAGAGTGACATCCCTGAGGAGATCCCTGGCAGTGTCCAGCCCCCAACACCACCAGGTTCTCACACACCACCTCAGCCTCAGGCTCTGGATGGGTTTTTCCTCCTGGAAGTGTCTTCCAGGTCAGGATCAGAGTCTCCAGCCCGGAGTCCCAGGTGCTTTGCAGCCACAGCGAGCACAAACCACCCTCGGATTCACTCTTTTCCAAGCCCACATGGACAGCAAAGAGGCAAAAAGGAAAACAAAACACTTCTGACAGAAAATATTTCCAAGCCTGAAGTCATTTCTAAGTGCAAAAAGTCACCCTTGTTTGCCCAGCCCCATCACAGGGACACAGGAAAGCTGGAGCACGGGAAATTAAAAACCTTATAATCAATTCTGGCAGAGGTGCCAGCAGTGCCTGTGGTCGGGAAGGACGGGAGCTCACCCCTAATCCCAGAGGGTTGTCCTGTTCCTGGTAGCCAAGGAAACCACTCTGGGAAGCAGGAAAAGGAAATTTCCCGGTGCTGCCCCGTGGTGAGGGTGCAGTTTGGAGCTCTGAAGGAGGAGGTTGTGGAGCCAGGTAAAATTCAGCCACCCTGAGCACCCCAAAGCTGCTGGGCCCCTCCTGCTGGCTTAGGAAACAGCAACAAAGGGGATGCAGAAAGGAAAACTTTTCCAGAGGGAACAGAGGGAAAATCCCTTCCCATGAGGGCTCAGGAGGCTCAGACCCTCCAGGCACGAGCGGTTCAGGAGGACACTCAGTGAGAAGGAGCTGTCCTGGTCCAGCACACGGATATTCCCCATCCTCAGCCCCCACCTGAGGGCTGTCAGACAGAGCCAGATCCCTGCTCAGATCCCATCTGGCAGTCCCTGGCACGTTTTCCTTTGGAAGGGAGTAGGTTCTGCCCGGGTTTCTGGGTGCCAGTTTGTTTGACAGCCTGCAGAGCTGCATTGCTGTGCGAGCACAGGGGCTGGGGACAGTGGCCTTGTCACAGCACAGCCTGGCTGGCACCACACGGGCCCAGCTCAAGGGCCCCAGGAGGAGCTGCTAAGCCAGGCTGAGGTGATAAAAACCAATCCAGGGAGCTGGGAAAGAGGGGTGGGGTCACAGACAGGGACCTGGCTGGGGAATTGGGATGTCTGACTTCTTCTCCTGCTCATTTTCAGCACCACTGGAGGAGTTCTGGTTGCCCTGTCTTATTTTGATACCAAAATTGGCATTTCAAGGACTCTGTGTCCCTGCAGCCCTGACTGGGGAGGTTGGGGTGGTGCTGTTGTTTTGTGTTCTCAGAGCCAGCAGCTCCCTGTGGCAGCTGCAGAGGTCCTGAGGAACTCAGGGAGACTTTTCTCCTGAGCCATTATCACCCCAAGCTCCTTCTGCCTCCTTTTGAAGAGACCTCATTGCTGGGTCTGCTCCTGGAAGGATCTGGGTTAAAATAACCCTCCAAAGCTCAGAGCTGGACTCTGCAGTACTTGGATTCCCTCTGCCTGGTGGAGATGAAAGGATTTGGGATACTCCAGGTCCAAAGCCACAATCAGGGTGTCCTGAAGGGCCCTCTGGGCCAGGCTGTTCCCCCCCATCACCAGCAGAGGAAAAAGTAGCATTCCAAGGCTCTGCAGGCTGCAGTGTTTGGGGAAGTTTGGGGAACTTCCCAAGGCTCCCACAGGCTGGGCAGAGCCTTGGGATTCCAGTTTTTGAATTGGAAAAACTGGCTGTGGCTGTGCTGGGGCTGGCATTGCCGGCTGCCCTGCTCCCTCTGCAGGCTGCCATTCCCACGTGTGTCATTCCCACGCGTGTCCTTCCCTCCCCAGAGGAATTCCTCTCCAGCTTGGATCACTATGAGATCGCCTTCCCCATCCAAGTGGACCAGAACGGGGAGTTCCTCACCTTTGACATGCGCCGGCAGCTGAAGCCGCGGCCCCGGCGCTCCCTGCCCTACGAGCCCTCGGAACAGCAGGTCTTCTACAAAGTCTCTGCCCACCACACCCAGTTCCTGCTCAACCTGACCCTGCACTCCAACCTGCTGGCCGAGCACTTCACCGTGGAGTACTGGAAGCGGGATGGCATGGACTGGCAGCACGACTTCCACGAGGACTGCCACTACGCCGGCCACCTGCAGGACCAGTACCTCAGCTCCAAGGTGGCCATCAGCAACTGCAATGGGCTGGTGAGTCTGGTTTGGCTGGCCAGGGGTGGTGCCAACAGCTTTGATCCTCCAGCAGGTGGATCCACGTGGTGGGAAAAGCTTGGGGTTGGTGGCGAGCAGAGATATTCCACGCTGGAATCCATCACGATCTGCGGAGGGTGTGGTCATCCCTGGTCACATCCGCAGGGTTCCTGATCTGTGTGTCACTTCCAGTCCAGTTCCTGGGCATTTTCCCATTGATTTTGATTGGAATGGGATAATCCTGGATACCCAGACCTGGCTCTCACCGAGTTCTTCCAACAGCGAAGAATGTTTTGCGTGTGCTGGTGAGGAAGAAGCACAGGAGTGCAGGGACTTCACAGCCCTGCTGGAATGTCATGAGTGCATCCAGATCCTTCCAACTGCAGATGCACTCCTGGGGATCCCAGATGCTTCTGTCCATTTTTCAGGAGCTAAAAAAATGTCACTTGTGAGGGGAAAAGACCTGAAATAATCAGTTTTTCAATATGAAAAAGGGAACATCAAGAAGGGGGCAGGGTGGCATTTCCTCAAAACCAGCAAGGCTGCAGGAAGGAGGGTGGGAATGGTTGATTTTCCAAGTCCTGGCAGCTCAAACTGAACATCCCAGTCCTAAATATCAGCAAGGGACCTTAGTGGTGGACGTCAGTGTAAGAACAGCTGAGCTCTGGAGTAGGTTGCTTGGAGAGGGAGAGATCTGGGGAGATCTTTAGGAGCAGGCCAGACAAAAGGCTCTCAGAGCCCCTCCAGGTATGATTCATTGGCTCTCCCAGCCCTGGGAATAGACTGAGGATTTCCATCCCTATTTTTCTGTGATTGTGTGATATTTCTGGCTCGCACAGCACATTTCCTGATCTGCCAGATGGAGGGATGGAGCAAACATATCCCATGAGTGGATCCCAAGGCTGATGGCTCCCTTGGAGGGGTAGAAAAAGGCTCTCTAGGCCAGGTTCATATTTCTGCTCCTTGCAGCATTCTGGAAGAGCTTCCAAAAGGGAATGAATTCCCGTTTGATTTACTGCTGGGTGACCCTGCCAGAACAGTGCTGTGGGTTATTAACAGAAATGAGAATCTGACTCATTATATCAGAGTCTAAAGTTTCCAGCTCACAGCCAACAATCTGAGCTGCACAAACTCCTGGTTCCCGAGCCCTTTGTTCCGACACGGGAACTCTGCTCCGGATTTCGTGGTGCTCACAAAGGGTGGGCTGGGTGCTGCTGGCTCCGGAGGAATCTGGCATCCCCCTGCCCTCCCACTCCTCGGGGAAAGCACTTGGAACTGGGAGAATTCCATCCCCAGGCTGTGTTTAGCTCTGGAGAGGCACCAAGGCCTGCCTGGAGGAAAATGCAGCCAGGCACAGAGAGGGAGGGGGTCATCCAAGGAGCTCTCCTCTCCTGAACTCCGTCCTTCTGCCCTCCAGGGCTGTGACACAGCGAGGACGGGGGAGGAGGGCCTTGGGGTCAGTGAGGACAACGGGGTTGGGGATTCAGGCAAGAGGAGGCTGGAATGTTTGTAGCTGCTAGAGAGGGGCTGGACTTGCCATGGGAGGTGTTTTGAGCACTCTGGGTGGCCGCTAACCGCTGATCCATTCGTGCCACCCCTCATCCCCAGCAGGCTCGGCTCCAGGAGGGCGTCACCCATCCTGGAAGGGACAGAAGAGAGTCCCCAGGGGCAGGTTCCTGCTGGGGGGGGCACTGCACTGCCCCACTTTTGCAGGTGATGCCGCACTGGGCACAAACGGGACCTGGGATGGTTACGGGGTGAGCTGAGCACGAGGAGGAGGGAAAGGGAAGATTGTGAACACAGCAATGAGCTCCAGGCCACCCTCCTGTCCTCCAGCTCCCACATCCCTCAGGAATTCCCGTGCCTGCAAGGTTTGGTTTTGAAGCATTTTGAACATCCCCAGCACAGCTCTCACAGCACATCAGCTGTGACACTCTCCCACTGACTCCTCTTCCCAACACCTGGATGTTCCAGACACTCCCACTGACTCCTCTTCCCAACACCTGGATGTTCCAGACACTCCCACTGACTCCTCTTCCCAGCCACAGGCACTGTCACCCTGGCCTGAGGGCAGGCAGGGTGCAGGGCTCACCCCACTCATCCCCCACACCCTGCTGGGCTTCAGGCTCAGCCAGGGGAAAGTCTCCCAGTTTCCAGAGTCACAGAATCACGGAATATCCTGAGCTGGAAAGGACCCACAGAGATATCAAAGTCCATCCTGGTCCTGCACAGGACAGCCCCAGTCCCACCTCATGGCCTTTGTTGGAAGCAAAGGGTGACATGGTCCATTTTCAAAAATACTCCACATCTTGAGCTACCAGAGGGGCCAAGCAGCTGGAAGGCTCCAGGGAGCAGCCCAGGCAGCCTTGCCTCAGCCAGGAGCTGGAATCCCTGCTGGAATCCCTGCATTTCATCCCTTGAGCTGCGAGAAATCCCAAGGATCCATCATGTCCAACCATCAAAAAATCACAGCCAGGAGAAAACAACAAGCAGAGAAGTGCCTTTCTTTTCCCTCTTGTGTCAGAGGAACAGCCAGAAGGCCAGGTCTTCATCAGAGAATCCCAGAATGGTTTGGGTTGGGATGGACCTGAAAATTCATCTCATTCCACCCCCTGACAAGGGCAGGGACACCTTCTTCTCTCCCACGTTGCTCCAAACCCTGTCCAACATGGCCTTGGACACTTCCAGGGATCCAGAGGCAGCTTTCCTGGGGAGCCCCCTGAGCCCAGCATGAACAGGAGTGCCTGGAGGGACCCAGATGAGGAGGGATGGAGCCAGAAGGCCCCGCTGTCACACCTCCAGGAGCTGTGAGAGCCGGCCCCAGGCCGTGGCTGTGCCTTTCCCAAGTGTGCTGTGAGCTGACAGTGCAAATCCTCCTTGCTCTGCAGCTGACCTGAGTGAATCATACACAGGATATCCAATCCAGCTCCCCCACAAACCACAGAGCTCTCCCAGGACCTCTCACCGCCCCCTTTACCAGCCCAGTGTGATGTCCAGCGCCCTGCCCTCAGAGCTCAGCCCTTGGGGTCAGTCATGGGACAACTTCCAGACTCCTGTGACATCCAAGCCTTGCTGCTGGAAGGTGCCAGGCAGGCCTGGAGCCTCTGCAGAGGCTGGGGTGAGAACATCCCTTCTGCAGCGGGATGGATTTGGGGCAGGACATGCTCTCCCCCAGGTGCCTGGGCTGGGGGTGACCTCCTTCCCCCCATCCTGCAAAGCCAGCAGCCTTTCCATCCTTTCCATCCATCACATCCTTCCCATCCTTCCCAGCCTTTCCAACCTTTCCATCCTTCCCATCCTTTCCATCCTTCCCATCCTCCCCATCTTTCCCATCCTTCCCAGCCTTCTCATCCTTCCCATCCTTCCCAGCCTTTCCATCCTTCCCATCCTTCACAGCCTTCACAGCCTTTCCATCCTTCCCAGCCTTCACAGCCTTCCCATCCTTCCCATCCATCACATCCTTCCCATCCTTCCCAGCATTTCCATCCTTTCCATCCTTCCCAGAATTTCCATCCTTTCCATCCTTTCCATCCTTTCCATCCTTTCCATTCTTTCCATCCTTTCCATCCTTTTCATCCTTTCCATCCTTCCCATCCTTCCCAGCCTTCACAGCCTTCCCATCCTTCCCATCCTTCCCATCCTCCCCATCTTTCCCATCCTTCCCAGCATTTCCATCCTTTCCATCCTTCCCATCCTTTCCATCCTTCCCATCCATCCCAGCTGGCTCTGCTGGCACTCAGCTCCCCGCAGGAGCCCGGCCAGGGTAACCTCACAGTACCTCGCTTGTGTTTGAGGAGGTGGAGCCGAGCCAAGAGCAGCAGAGCCCGGGGCAGGAGGAAATCCCCCGGCACTCAGGGCTGGGGATTCACCGCTCACACACTGCCCCGATTGAGCTCCACACCGGGAGGGGACAGGGACAGCCCCACCTGTCCCCCCGGAGAGGCTCTCCCCACCCACACCCCCAGAGCGGCTGGGCCAGCTGGTTCTTCCATGGAGGGGCCTCGGGATGTTCCACAGGGACAGAATTTCTACTCCTCATCCTGGCAGAGGTGGCTCCTGTCCCTCGGGCACAGAGGGAGCTGGAAGAGCGCTGTCACATCCGAGGGACACCTCTGGTAGCAGGACAGGGATGACAGCTGGGAATTTTCACTCCTGGGCTTTTGGGATCGTGTTTGAGCCATGTCAGGCGCATTTCTGTGCCTCGCTCGCTTGTTGGTGATGGGACACCACATTCCTTGGAGAAGCTCAGTGCCAGGAATTGGGATGGAGCTCCTGTTGGGCTCCCAGAAACTCGTGGTGCTGCTCAGACCTTTCGGGCAGAGGGAATGTTGCTGTGAGGGTGGAGAGGAGGGACCCTCAAGTGCGTGGTGGGTTTGGTGATCACCCCCCTGGGATCTGCTCCTCCTGGCTGTCACTGTCCCACAGGTGGATCCACTCAGACAGTAAAGCCTGAGACTCAGCCAAAGAACAACAAACTAAAACAAACAAGGGTGCAAACCCGAGATGATCTCACTGAATGGCCAGCCCGAGGTGCACAAGGGGCTGGGATGCCCCGTCCAGTGGCTCTGCTGGTGGCCTCTGCTTAATCAGCCTTCAGATTTTAAACATTTGGGGAGTTTCCCAAAGCCTCTGGGTATTTACCCCTCTCTGCAGCTCCGAGTTCCCAGCTGCTGGGGATGGCCCTGAGCTGCTTGGGAAGGTTTTTTGGGGTGGCCGAGCTCAGAGCTGAGTGCTGCTGTGTCTGAAGGGGTTTTTGGGATCCCACAGGGATCCCACTGAGACCGAGTGGGTGGAATAGGAAACAACTCATTCATAACTCAGCAAGGCAAGGCTGTGATTTCCAGAGGACTTTAGTGAACACAGATGTCCCAAGGCATCCACCACCATCTGGCTGGCTTTCCTCTGCTCTGTGGGTTCCTGTAGTTCAGTGCTTGTGCAGGATTCCTCCACAGCTTTTGTCAGTCCCCAGAAATTCGGGGATAATCAGCCAAAACCTCCCCACGAGGAGGAGAACGTCCCCCAGTTCTCTGAGCACCTCGGTCATTGCCTCCCTCTGTTCCCTCCTGCAGCACGGGGTGATCGTGGCGGATGAGGAGGAATATTTCATCGAGCCCCTGAGCCCTGGAGCCAACGTCAGCGCGGGGGGTGAGGGCAAGGGCAGCCCCCACGTCGTGTACAAGCGCTCGTCCCTGCAGTACCCTCACATGGACGCGGCCTGCGGAGTGATGGGTAGGTGCCCCCGCCACCTCCTCCTCAATCCAGCCCCAAACAGGCTGGGAAAATCCTGCCACAACAGGATTGTCCACTCTGCTCCACGTGGCAAAGAACCAAACTTATCTCCTGAATTTGGGATTTTTCTGTGTTTGCTTTTACCCACTTCTGGTGGCTTTGGGAAGCTGCCGTCCTCTCCTCCTCACAGCAGGGCTTTAAAATCTGTAAACAGAGCTTGGAATAGAAGAGAAAAAAACACCTCTTGTTTTTCTTCAGAAGAATCCTCCCAGATTTGGCCAGTTTGCAGAGTATTGGGAAATCACAGCTCACGTGTGCTCAGCACAGCCTTGGCCTCGGGCTTTGGTCACTGCAGGTCCTGTCGGTGCTGGGGTGATGCTGCTGCTGATGGGGACCAGGTGGAAAAGGGCCTTGCAGGGTGGGATGTGGGGCCTGGCCCATCACAGGGGGCTCTGGGGGATGTTCAGGGAGAATGGTGACAGCACATCAACCCCATTTCTGCACCTTCTGACCTCCAAAAGGACACACAATCATCTGCCCTGGCCTCTCCCCGTGTGCCGCTCTGGCCCTTGCCCTTCCCTCCAGTCTGTCCCAGAGCTGGCTGGAATCCCTGCTCCTTGTGAACAGGCAGAGTTTCACCATCTACCCAAAACGTTTTAGGCCCAGAGGATGCCCCTCCCTCAGTTCAGAGAGGCTGAGGGGAGCTGCCGTCCCTGCAGGGTCTGGTGGCTTCTCCTGGATCAGTCTGTGGGAACAGAGCAGAGCTCTGAGTTCGGGTCTCACTGCAGGGTGTCCATCCACTGCCCCAGCAGTGACACTTGGCCAGAGAAGGAGTCTGTCACCTTCTCTGAGTGTCCCCAGACCCACCAGCATCTCTGGAGCCACCCTGTGCTCCCCTGGCCTCCACCCAGCCCAGCCCCCCGAGCCACACGGGGTGAAGCTCCAGCAGCCTCCCCTCCTGCTGAGGCTTTGCCACATTCCCCAGCTTCCAGAAATAATTTAGCCCTCTCCTAATTGCTTCTTGGAAAGCAGAGATGTGCAGTGGGAGCCACAGGCCAAAGGGAGCTTGGAACAACCACAGTGCAATGGCCCCAGCAAGGCCACCCCGTCCCCAACCCTGTCCTGTCCTGCCCAGCACCCCTGAACACCCCCAGGAGCTCCCCTGGATCGCTGGAGGAGCTGGGAGCTTCTGGGGCTGCCTGAGGTCTGCCCACGTTCCCAGCCTCACTGGATGTGATGATCCAGCCTCAGAGCAGGAGAAAGGATCCAGCTGGGTGTGCTGGGAGGGCAGGAGCAGGGCTGGAGTCTCCCAGTCACCTCCCCATCCTGTGGAGTTCTCCAGGCAGGGAATTTGGAGCTGCTGGGGACATCCCCAGGCTCAGGGGTGCTCCAGCAGCACTTGAAGCAAAGTCCCACAAAGCTGCTGCTGCTGCTCAGGCTGTAGCCCTGCCTGTGCTGGAAAAGACAAGTCCTAAAGCCAGGTCCTGGCAGGAAAAGGAAAGAGGGAAGGGTCTGCAAGGGTTTCATTTTCAGGTTGTGGCTGTGCGGTCTCTAAAGCCACCCCGGGCAGAGGTGAGGGCAGGGCTGTGCGGCCAGGAGGGGTTTGGGGCTGCGCTGGGCTGGGCACAGATCTGCTGGCAGGAGGGGACAGGAGGGCAGGGGAGGTGCCAGCAGGACTGGCAGGAGCCTGGGGACAGCCCTGGACTGCCTTTGGGACAATTTCTGCGTCCACACGTGGTGCACAAATCACAGAATCACAGAATGAAGTCGGTTGGAAATGACTTTTAAGATTCTCTAGTCCAACCTGTGACCTAACACCTCCTCATCACCTAAACCCTGGCACTGAGAGCCACATCCAGGCTTCCTTTAAACACTTCCAGGACTCCACCACCTCCCTGGGCAGATGATTCCACTGCCCAATCACTCCGTGAGGAATTTTTTTCCGACATTTAGCCTGAACTTCCCCTGGTGCAGCTTAAGAGCTCCTCCACGGCCTTTCCTCCCCTCCAACCCCTCTCCTCACCCCTGTGAGCCGGGAGCTCCTGCCCCAGGGCATCAGAACCATCTGTTCCCTCCTCAGACGAGAAGCCCTGGAAGGGGAGGCACTGGTGGCTGAGGACACTGAAACCCTCCCCTCTGAAGCCATCGGGCAACCACAGCCAGCGGGGGCAGCTGCCCCTCAAGAGGTCGGTGAGCACCGAGCGCTACGTGGAGACCCTGGTGGTGGCTGACAAGATGATGGTGGGCTACCACGGCCGCAGGGACATCGAGCAGTACATCCTGGCCATCATGAATATTGTAAGTGTTATACCCACACCAGGAGCCTGGCGGGCTGGGGGAAAACCTCATCACCCCGAAAGTCCCTGTTGGGAAAAGGAGATTTTCCTGCACGAAGCGGGATGGGGATGCAGGGGGGGGATTGGATCCGCTCCAGGCTGGTGGTGCCTTCTCCTCAGGCTCGGAGCAAGGCTTTGGGGTCAAAAATCCTGCCAGGCTGAGGCTGCTGAGCAGTGGGACCCCAGAGCCTGGAGAGGTAAACTCTGGCCTGTCTGACCCCGGGCTGTGAGAACAAAAGCCTTTCTTTGATCAGCATCTCTCAGCTCAAATTAGCATTGCAAATGCGGCCAGGCAAGCTGAGAAACACATGGGAAAGCATAAGGACGGGGAGCTCTCACGCTTGGGGGCTGAGCAGGGAGAGAGAGGGGCTGCAGAAATCCCCCCGAGCTGTGGTTCTGGTTCGGGGCACTGCTGGCAGCAGGGTACCAGGCTGGATGCCTGAACAGCCTGAATTGGCCGCGCTGGATCCTCCTGTGAGGTGAGATGGGTTTGGAAGTTATCCATCAACCCTCTGAAAGGCCCTCTGTGACGGCTCTTTGTCCCGTCCTCCGCAGGATCGCTTCTCATGCTTTGCATTTCTAAAGCCGACGCCAGATTTTCAAACAATCCCGGTTCGAGCTGCTCCGAAACACCCGCGGCACATTCCCGAGGGATCTGTGGCCTCCCTAATCCCGAGGGATGCTGTGGCCTCCCTAATCCCGAGGGATGCTGTGGCCTCCGTGGTCCTGAGGGATGCTGTGCTCCCAAGGGATGCTGTGGCCTCAATGATCCCGAGGGATGCTGTGATCCCGAGGGATGCTGTGATCCTGAGGGATGCTGTGATCCTGAGGGATGCTGTGCTCCCGAGGGATGCTGTGGCCTCCCTGACCCCGAGGGATGCTGTGGCCTCCGTGGTCCTGAGGGATGCTGTGATCCCGAGGAATGCTGTGGTCCTGAGGGATGCTGTGATCCTGAGGGATGCTGTGATCCTGAGGGATGCTGTGATCCCGAGGGATGCTGTGATCCCGAGGGATGCTGTGCCCCCTCCTCAGCAAATCTCCATCCCCGGGGCTCCACAAAATGCCAGGAATGGGGCCTGCCCCGCCAGGGCTCAGGGCAAGGAGCAGCTGCTGCGGGATTTTTGCTTCACTGCCCTGAGACAGCGAGCTCTGACCGTGGATTAGGGGATTCTGCTACTCAAGTGGAGGTGTGGAGTCCCGTTCCCATCCCGGCTTCCCAAAAATGTTGTGTTCAGAGCCCAGCCCCGATTCCCTGCCGTGCCCAGCCCTGCCCAGCTCCCCCAGCCACAGAGCTCATTTTTAAGACTCCTCTTTTCTTGTTTCTTGGAGGTCAGGTTGCCAAACTTTTCCAGGACTCGAGTCTGGGCAATATTGTCAATATCCTGGTGACCCGGCTGATCCTGCTCACTGAGGATCAGGTAAGCTGGGCTTTGCTGAGCCTGTCCTGTGTCTGCACTTCCCTTCAGGAGCTGTGTGTCCTCCCTGGATGTCACTCCCAGAAATTCCCCCTGCTCTGCATCCTCCCAATGCCCCCTGAAGGACTGGGCTGAGGAGACCTCTGGGAATCTGATCTTGTCCATGATAAGGTGACTTTAGGGAGGTTTAAGCAGCTTTAGTTCTCATAAAGTCCCACTTTTCTTGCTTTCCCACGGCCTCCATGAGGAATTGGGGTTGTCTGGAGCGGTGTTAGTGCTCTGCTGGCACGGAATGGGCAGCACCTTCCCACCAGAGCCTTCCTGGGAACGCACTCTCCCATTGCTTCCATTCCAGCCCACGCTGGAGATCAACCACCACGCCGGGAAATCCCTGGACAGCTTCTGCAAGTGGCAGAAATCCATCGTGAACAGGAACGGCAACGGGAACGCCATCCCAGAGAACGGCATCGCCAACCACGACACCGCTGTGCTGATCACCAGGTGAGCTCTGGCCCCTGCGGGGTGGCAGCTGTGCCCAGCCTCTGTCCCCAGGCTCATCCAAGGCTTCCTGACTCCCAGTGGATGCAGATTGTTGCAGTTCAGATGGTTGGCACCCTCCAGTTCTGTTTGTTGGCACTCTCCAGTCTTCCCTGGGTCTTTGCTGGGCTCTCGGAGCTCAGTTTGCAGCCACGGGGCGTTTCTGCCCCAAAGGGCAACGTTGGGCACATGTGGGAGCCCAGCCTGGAATCCTGGAGCTTCCTGCTGGGGTGAAGAGCCCTGTCAGCCTCTGCTCTGAAAGGGAAAGAGGATTCCAGCAGGATCTCGGGACAGGACCGGCTCCAGGCAGCTCGGGATGTGGCTCAGCACATTTTAGGTGCCTCCATGTTGGGATGAGCTCTCTCCTTGGAACACCCCTGTCCTGTCCCTGGGCTCCTATCACAGCTGGGGAGGTCAGCTGTGGACCTGGATGCTGGTTCAGACCCCGAGATCTGTGTGAAGGGCTCTGAGCTGCCACATGCAGGACAACAAAAAACCATCAGAACTGATGAGGCTCAAGCCTGGGGCAGCAGAGTTGTGGGAGGATGGATGATGGATGAATGGATGATGGATGGATGGATGATGGATGATGGATGGATGGATGGATGGATGGATGGATGGATGGATGGATGGATGATGGATGGATGATGGATGGATGGACGATGGATGGATGATGGATGGATGGATGATGGATGGATGGATGGATGGATGGATGGATGGATGGATGGATGGATGGATGGATGATGGATGGATGGATGGATGGATGGATGGATGATGGATGGATGGATGGATGGATGGATGGATGGATGATGGATGGATGGATGATGGATGATGGATGGATGGATGGATGGATGGATGGATGGATGGATGGATGATGGATGGATGGATGATGGATGGATGGATGGATGATGGATGGATGGATGGATGGATGGATGATGGATGGATGG